GAGAAGGGCGGCCTGAGCCTTGCTGGGTTTAGGATTTAGGGTTTTAGGTTTAGGGTTTTAGGGTTTAGGGCTGATGGTTTTGGGTTTGAGGGTTTGAGGGTTTGAGGGTTTAGGGTTTGAGGGTTTTAGGTTTTAGGGTTTAGGGGTAAGGGTTTAGGGTTTAGGGTTTCAAGTAACCCCAAAATATACCTCTATCTTATACCCCTAAATAGTAGTTTCCATTTTCTTTTCCATTATCCCTTTATTACCCCCAGGGAAGAGGGATGTAGGGTCCAAGGCCCCCAGTATACACCCAATATAACCCCAATATATAACCTCAATCTAGACCCAATATATAAACCCCTAAACCCTAAACCCTAACCCCTAAACCCTAAACCCTAAACCCTGAACCCTAAACCCAATATAAACGTCCAGGTTAGATTCTCCTTGGGTTCAGAGCCAGGCGTCTTCTGCATGGAGGGCTGGAGGAGATCTAGAATCCGACCTGTGGAGCATTGAGACGGTGAGGGTTACCAAGAGAGCCCAGTTACCTATAATAATGGGCTACTTTAGCCCAAAGTAGTAGGAAATTAGGGGAAAGTAGATTATAATTATGGGCTACTGGCTTTTGAGGTAAGACCCTGCTGGCTAGAATACGTGTTTTTCAGAGGTATTGCTCTTTGCTCCTTGTTTCAACGCAGACAAGTCCCATCCAGAGCAGCATTCTTGAAGGGATCCATATTGTTTGCTTCAAGCGGTTCCTAGGGTGTCTAAAATGTCTGTAGGATAAGAGGATGTCGAGCCCTTTCGGTCCCTTCTTGTTTCACCTGCGGCTGGCTATCTGTATTGGGGCCGGTGACTTCACTCAACTCAGGTTCTTGGGCTTCAGCTTTTGCTAGGCTTCTGCGTAAGCAGATGGTGCGGACGTGGGAACAAGGTCTGACAGAAGCCTCCTCAAAGCCATGCATCCCGCACTTCCCCCAGCTCTTGGACCATGACATGCCTCGGAGCTCTGCACAAGACCTCGACCATGTGTCCCCACTGACACGGGCTCGAAAGACTGCTGGGATTCTTCATGCACCAAATTTGAGGATGCACTGTTGCCCACACTCATCACCTTCAACAGCGGGCACCTCAGCCTAAGCGACACATGGGATGAGCATCTTTGCCTGGGGATTTGTATCGGTGGTTCATGCCAAGGTTGTGTAAGGGATTCAGGATGTTGGGCTCTTAGGTTGCAAACATACTGCAGGCTGATTACTTACAATCCCAGTTACCGGATCAGATTTAGGGCCCATGAGCTGATTGCAATGCTCCATCCTAAACCCTTAAACCTAAAGACCTTAAAGGGTGAGCCATAACCCTTAAACCCTAAAGACCCTACTCGTAAAGGGTAAGCCATTAAGACCTTCCTCTTTTATCGCCAGCCTCTGCAAGCCGCTCAAGCTGCAGAGGTGTGATGCACGTTTGTGCATGCGGAGGCGAGTGGATGAGGTCCTTATGTCTCCTGGAAGAGCTCACGAGACTTGATGCAATTCGGCTTTAGAACCATCCCCTTCCCTCAATGCCCGTTGGTCATACTGGTTGCGAGCTCCAGGTTGAGGCTGGACTGCTTCAGAGAGATTTGCACGGGTTTTTTCCCAGGGCAACTTTGGTAACTCCAATTTGGACGTCATCTCAAGTTTCTTTTTGAAGCCTTCCTAGTGCGAAAGCCTTGCAAAGTGGCAAAGCGAGAGCTTTGTTCTTACTTTTGGCCTCGTACTGGACACGCTACCAGACCCAAAGCAGCCAGATCTTGGATTCGAAGCAAAAAGGAATCTCGCAGCATGAAAACAATCACAGACGCTTATCCCAGAGATTCCAGATTGAGCGGTAAAAGCATGACTGTAAGTGTTGAGCATCTCCATGCACATCGACATGGGGAGTGGTATGCTGCTATCCGGGTCTCGTTAAGAAGTTCGCGCGTGCGAGAATCTTTTGCTTGACAGGAAGGCCAGTTTGGAGCCCGACGAAGTGAGCCAGCACCTCATGGGGATATGACGTCTGATTGGGGTGCCGGGGCTTTGGCAAGTGAGGGTTTCCTGAGTTTGCGGCCTGTTTAAGAAGTAGGGTCGTTGTTCAAGGGTCGTAGCCAGGTTTGGAGAGCTTGGCAGGGATTCTGAACACATGTGCTCCAAATCCTGTTGCAGTACAGCTTCAAGCCGGCGCAGATCAACAATAATACCAGTGCTGCTGGCTCTGGGAAGTGTGAGCATAATGAGCAGGAGCAGGACAGGCGATTGTCACATACTGCACGCGCCTTGCAAAAAAGCAGCTATTCCTTTGCCTTTAACTTTAAAACCAGGATGGGCTATTAGACCTTAAAGGGCCCTTAATCTACCCTTATTAAGGTACTAATAGTGAATTTAAGTGTCTAATAGCCCATACTGGGACTGAAGCTTTCAGGTCTGAGCACGGCCATAACGGCTTTGCAGATGCATGGCCTTTGGGTGCTTGCACTTTCACTTCTGACGCAGGCAAGATGCGCTAAGACCCCAGCCCAAAGTTCAGCGTTCAAAGCTTCAGATTCCAGAAGTTGTTGTTTGCTGTGAGGCCTAGGGATGTTTGGAATTGAGCACAAAACTTGGAGGGAGTGAGGGATTCCTAGTGCTCTCGAGGGGAGCGGGTGTGTATCAAAGAACTCTATACTTCAAGCTTTTCAGAATTGGCCAGTCAAAGGTCGCAGGCGCTGAGCTGCTGAAGTCTGAACTCCAAGCTTTTCAGCAGCCCCAGCTTTGTGGCTTCAACTTGCACCTCAGGTTTCAGGGTGATCCTCCCTATATAACCCCAATATAGTATAGTAGTTTCCCATTTTCTTTTCCATCCTCCCAATACAACCCCCATATAACCCTATATAGCCCTATATAATATTGGTAATTAGAGCTGAGGACGGCAGATTTCCGATCTCAAACCCCAAAAACCCTTTGTGCTCGTCCCTTCCCAGACCCTCTCAAGGATCCAAAAAATACACCGCCCCCCCCTCCCCCCCCAATATGAACCCATTACTACATTGGGGAAACTAGGGGATTCTTAGGGGGTTCCATTTTTTGGGATGGTCTGGGTAAGAACCTTGGAGGTTTGTGCTTATCATCCAAAGCCTGAACCTTAAGCCCTTTAACATGCTGAATTGGGATAAAGCTGGGCTCCAGCAGGCAGAAGGAGCTACCAGCGACTTTGCGTACAACGGAGCTTCTTGGCCAACCTATTACGGGTTCAGGCTGTGCAGATGGCTTTAATGCAGGCGCGCACTGTTCCTTAGGCGCTTTTTCCTGAGATAATGCGCAGCAAAGCTCATGTTCGGTGAGTACAAGCCTCTGTAAGTTGCAACGGTTTGTCCCAAGCTGGAACATCCAAACCTCGGAAAAAAGTTTTTGCCAGTCGCTTTCTGCAGCGGAGGTCATCAGCGCCTGCGAGAAGGGCGGGGCTTGGGAAGTGGCTCTGCAAATCCTGGATCAAATGCTTCAGAATTCGGTCCTCGAGCAGCACTCAGTCCTCATTCACCCCGAACCAGCACAGTGCAAGTAAAACCTTGCATCAAACAAATACCAAGTAACTTACACGAAAGGGAGCTTATGAATCAACCTGAAGCCATCTGACGCTTGCCAGCATGATCCTCACGAAGGCGTTAACTTGAAGGTATCGTATCTGACGCTTGCCAGCATGATCCTCACAAAGGCGTTAACTTGAAGGTATCGTTCGGATTGCCGAAAATCACGGGGTCCCTCCCATACTTCTTGGGACAACAGGTAATGCAGGCGTAACAAAGACAAGGCTTTGGTAGCTGAGTGGGATGGAATTGCCAGGAGCTACGCTTGGTCTTAGCAGGGTGCGAACCTGAGCCAAGATGCCCAAATCCAGAGCCCTGATCCTAAAATTTTCCAAAGCCACAACCCTAGCCCCTAGCCCTTTGAAACCCTAGTCTGCTACCTTTTGCGCGCCCCCCCCGCCCAGGTCACTCCGGACGTCTTCAGCTGCAGCGCGGCTGCTGCAGCCTGTGCACGGGCCGGACAGTGGCGGGAGGCACTCTCTCTCTCTCGCTCTCTCTCTCTCTCTTCCTCACTACTCTTTAAGGCTCGAAGGATGCGGGAGTTAGGTTGATGGTGTAGGATTTGGGACTAAGGGAGGTGGTTTGGTTGGCATGTGAATCTCGAATCAGGATATCCTTTGGGACTCTAGGACAAGCATTGCTGATTGGTCTTGTGGTTTTTGCCTTGATTGTTTCCTCTTGCAACATCATGTGGGCTGATGCTGCCGTTGGCATCGCACATTCGAAGCGAAGCTATCAAAATGGGGGTGCCCAGGGAGCCTAGATTACAAAGCAGAGAATGAAAGGATCCCCTCACAGGTTCTGATCACCTCCCCCTCTCAATGACCCCGAACCCCCTATTAGTAAACCTCCACAACACAGTACCATTTCACGTCAGGGAAGTTTTGTGATAGTGTGATTTGGGGGTCAGCATCTTGTGGCATGGATTATTCAAACATGTTGCGCGTCTGTGATGCATGCGGCTTGATTTGCTGCCACCTCAACGTTCCCACACGAGCTGCTTTCATCAGCAATGTTATCTCGCGAAAACGAGGCGTGAACATGGGCTCCTTTTGCTGATTAATCTCAGCCTGATTGAGTTCTTCGCGAATAAGCTCCCATGTCTTATAGCAACACCAGTAGTAGTCTTGGCTGTAGCTCATTCGTGTTCATGATGCTAGCAGAGGGGTCTGATCAGCTATCGCGTTGACATCTTGAATTGGAAACGCAGACTCTTGGCATATGATTCCACTATTTCGTGAAAATCTTGCAGCTAAGGCCGCAGGACCTTGGGCAAAGTCCTTGGACATTGAACCTTGCATTTCAACTCCAAACCTTGCATTGTTTGACTTGTCGTCAAACATGACCCCAAAATGCTTCGAGCGCCGTCTATGCTCCGCAGCTATCAGTCTGCAAAGATGCAACCAAAACCATCAAACGTCGAGACTGCGTCCAGGCCCTCCAGGTTCTTGACTCGATGTCTCGACTGCAGGCCTTGTATTGAGATCAGGGTTTTCATGAGCTTGTTATGACATCAAGACTCGTGCTTTTTGCAGTGGGCTTTCTCTTGAGCAGGCTCTAGACTTTGGAGAGCTTTATTTTGAGGTTCGCGTCGTGGACTTGTCGTAGACTTTCTTGAAACATCTCGGAGCATGAAGAGGGCTCCGGATTTTGTGCAGGTCACACCGAATGACATCTGTACTTGCCTCAGCTACAGCATGCATCAGGTCATACAGCAGCTGTGACTGAGCGTGTGCCAACCCTTACAAAGGGCAAGAAGCTGAATGTCCCCAATCCCTCAACTCGAAGCTCTACGGGCGGATAGGGATGGTAATTCGGGAGCTAACCTGGCACGGTAGCACTTGAATTTGCTTGAATTTGCCGCACTCGACCTTCTTTCGGACCCAGCTTTGTTTCTGAGAGCGTGTGCTGTACTTCGTAACCTCAGATGAAGTTCTGCCCGCCCAAGATAAAAGCATGAGGTACCGACATCCACTCTGCTGGTGACCCGTGATATCATAAGAAAGACACCAGCGATGCAACACCATATCCACAAGCTCGCATCAAAGCCGATGAGAGCACAACTCCATGTGATAGACTCCTCTTGAAGCTTATTTCCCTTGAACACATGTGACACCCCAAACCCGAATGCTAAAGTCCCTAAACTCTAAAACGAATGAATCTCGAGCCGCTCAACCTGACCCACAAGTCTGACGAGCTCAAGATGGCTTCAGCTTCAGCCAAGGCTTCAACTCCGCCCTGAGTGCCTGTGAGGAAGGGCGCAGCTGGAGCCAGGGCCCTGGACTGAGGATCTTAGGAGGTTCCGACGTGTCGAACTTCTGGGTTCAAGTCTGTGAGTTCAGGCTTGTCTCATTGTCTCAAGATTCAAGCACTAAGCCAGCCAAGCTTCCTTTTTCCACGACATCCGACGCGTAATTACCTTGTGCAGGGTTCCCCGAAACATCCCTGGAAGCAGTGATCCAGGGCAGCCTTCCATAGGACCGTCTTCAAAGCCCATGGTATGGTGACCGTTTGCGACTGCACCTGGTGCCAGCATGTGACAGCAGGCTGTCACCAAGACGATCCCAAGGCCAGCCTCGAAAAGAAAAGCCGCAAACTCCACCAGGCGGGGCCATTGAGATTCTGGAAGCCATGGTACGGACACGGCCGCCTCGCGATGCTTTCAGCCGCTTGTTTGCTTGGATGGTGGGTGGGAAAGGGTATTTGGAAGGTTCCAGGTCTGATTGTTGGGTGCCTCATATAGGAGATTTGATGATGAAGTAACTTGCAGGACTAAGCTGTCTGAGCTGTTGGGTTCAGGTGTCAGGTTTGTGGGCAGGTTTGTTGGCACTGTGTTGTGTGGCCCTCCAGTACATCGCAATGTGGAAAGCCAATTATATGGAACCACTACACTATGTGAAGCCTTCAAGCAATCTTGAAACCACTTTCAACCTCGACTGCGGGCTGGAAGCCAAGCAAAGCACAAGACTTCTCAAGTTCAGGAAGATCTGGTGCTTCATTGGGATGAGCGTATGATCCTCTGTCGGGTAATACGTTGGCTGCGCATGAAAGGCTACAGCAGTGCCATCAGCGCATCTGAACGATCATGCCGGTGGCAGGCACGTGCTCATGAGGTTGAGGGCTGCGAGCTTTGGAGTCCAGAATGCTGTTTCTCTACACCCAAGGGTGCTTCAGTTGCGCATAGGGTTCCCCTGTGAAGGTGGCCGCCAACCTCCTTGAGCAGATGCCCGTTGCGAAGGCCAGCACAGACACTTCAATCGAAATGTTGAATAGACCAGGGTACTAGAGGTGCTTCTAGTATTGTGTTGTGCTGGTCGCATGGTGTTGAATAAAATTGCGCTTCGAGAAACATACGTCATAATGCAAATCTTGGAAAACTCAGGGAAGGCTTGGGGCTTACAAAGTGGCATAACTTCTGCCACCACCCAACCCAGTGTCTGACTTCCTGCGAATGCTTCACGCAGTGACCCCTGGCCCGGGACGAGGCTAAGCCGAACGTCCTCTGCTACTCGCCTGTGCTCCGCGCAAGCGCGCGCCGCAGTGTCTGGGGTGACGCTATGAGGCGCACTCCTTTCTGAGCTTTGAGGGTCCTTTGGGTTGACCATTTTGCTGGTATCGAGGGCGCTGAAAGACCTGGAGGTGAGTGGCTGATTGGCTTGAGGTGTTTTGGTTGGCTTCGTCGTTGTTCGGGGGTGTTTAGCCTTTGCAGTTTACGAATGGCGCGGGGGCTACGTTTGTCACCCTTTAAGCAAGCCAAAACGGTAGATGTCGATATTCAGAAGCAGCCGTGCCTGCAAAAGGGAAAGTCTGACGTGCGACAAGTACTTCAGCACCAACTTCGAAGAATCAAGCCCAAGACACCCAAAACACGTCCAGGAGCTTGTGCTTGATGGGGGAAGCACTCGTCGTCCCTGATGCGCCTTGTCAACTCTTCAGGACTTGGGGGTCAGAGGCTTCAGGTTTTGAGGCTACAGGGTCTAGCAACTATGGCAGCCCATTGCACAACAGCACTACCTAAAAGGTCTGAACCAACTGTACGAGTGTGGCCTGGGCGTCTTTTAACATGGTTGGGGCACACAGATCCTGCCAAGGTAATTGCCTATGAACACGCCACTACCTCCTGTGCCTCTCGGCTTAGGCATGGGCAAAGGATCGGAGATATCGTACTGAAGGATGTAGGATGTGGAGCTTGGGTTAACCAGACGATATTCCCGTTTCATTATCAGCTAAGCAAAGTTCTGTCCGTGCAGTTTACGGAGGTTTTGGGCCGGGATCCTGCAAGCTTTGGTTCTTTGGTTCCCCTGATGGGCTTTGCCCTAGGATAGTTGAGTTCAGCAATTTGGCTGGTCAGGCGTCCTCCCAGTTATTAAAGATGAGGATGCTCTGGTGTTTGGACGGTGAGCTGCTCAACCTTGACAGCCTGGGTTCGGGGAGCCTGCACTCGGGGAGGGTCTGACTGTTGAGCCTGAACCAGGAAAGTAAACTGAGGACCTAAAGGGCTTTTGCATCCCGAGCTTCACCATTAGTATCCGTGCAAAGGCCCTTCCCTTCAAGAAAGGCTGCTCTACACACTCCCGTCTCAAGCACACTGCCGCATGCCTACCCCTTGAGTCCCGTGTCCAAAGTCTTAGCCTCGAGGCGAAACGCCAAAGACTGAAGCCTTCCTGCGTTGAATGCTGAGACTATAGAGAACCCCATTATACTATAGTAGTTTCCATTTTCTTTTCCATTATCTCAATATAACCCCTATATATTACAGTAGCTTCCATGAGAACTTGCAAAGGAGAGTGGGCAGTCGGGGGCGTTCCTCCTGCTCCTGCTGGACCAATGTGCGCCGCGGACGGAAATGGTTATCTCCAGCCTAGGTGGGGGTTTCCCGAAATTAGGGGTACCATTTTAAGGGTCCCAATAATAAGGACTGTAGTATTTGGGGGTCTAAATTGGGGTCCCCCTATTTTGGGAAACTACCAGGTGGAACAGAGCTGTAGATTGAAGCTTTAATTCCGTGATGAGGGACTTCAAAGCTAGCGGCCCTACTGATGGCAACCTGGATATCGAGCACACGCTTCACAGCATCCGCATCCATCCAATGCCCTGACCTTTATGGCATCGAGACAGTTCAAGCCTGAGTGATGGTTCTCAAGACGGGCTAAGCAAGTCAGACACTACCGGTTAGTGGTTTCTGAGTCGGATTGTTCGTCCGAACGCGCTTCCGACTGCAGAGTTGGAGATTCATCGCAAGATTCTGGTTGGTGTTTTGGAAATTGATAGCTGCATGGACTAGACAGCTAGGAACTGCAAGACAGACATGGCCAAAGTCTCCAGCTTCAGTCCCTTAGCCGGTGCCCTCCGCCTAAAAGTAAAAAGCAAGAAAAACGATTCTCCCTGGTAAATCGTGGCCCGTTGTACGACTGCCGAAAAGCAAATGTTCAGCAGGGGAGTGGTGACGAGTTGCAATATTGCCTTGTGGTTGCTCTTCCCTGCTCCCAGGAACGTTTCTGGCTGAAGCAGATGCGCTCGGTAGAAAAAGGAACTGCGCGCAAGGAAACGCATGTCTTTTGGATGTAAATGCGATGCTTCAGTCATCAAGATTTGGAGGTTTTGCAGAAGGACCCATAGGGAAAAAATCACTTCTAAGGTATCGTAGCCTTTCAAGGCACGGGAAAGGCCCAGGCTGGGGTTGCAAAGAAAGGAACGCAGGCAGCATTTGCTGGGTTGCTGTTAAGGAACTTAAATTAAGTTACCATAATGGGTATATATCGTAAATAATAAGGTTTACCCAATATAGTAACTTAATTTAAGTTACTTAACAGCAACCGAGTTTGTTCTTGCTTGATGCCAGATCTTGGCTTGTGAAGCCAACGAAGCAGCCTGGGAGCCTCTACATAGGGTATATATTGGGGTTATATAGGGAATAATGGAAAATAAAATGGAAACTACTAAACTATAATGGGGGTTATCTGAGAGTCCTGACCCTGAAGGATAGCCAGTCAGTGATCAGCAGGTCCCTCAGACGATGTATGTCGAGAAGCTGGTCGAAGTTCCCAAGGCGTCTTGGGGTCGGTCAGCGGTGCTTGAACGTTTCGGACTGCAGCTTAGATGTTCTTGGCAATGCCCTGGAAACGGCATTAATAGGTGGTGGGAAGAGTACTGAAGCATAGGAATCATCCTTGGCGTACTGCTTGGGGCTTTGCCAGATTTTACGAGGTCGTTTGGTTGCGGCAGTTAGGAGAACTGAAGCATAGCAGTGTGATTTGTTGGAGCTTAGTGCTTTTGACTGCTATCACTTGCTCTCACTAGTTGCAGCAGGTGTAGCTCAAGACACGCACCTGCACGACCATACGGCGTTGATGGGATTCTTGTGTCACTTTAGGTTGCAAGCTGAAGCGACATGGGGTGCCGGTTGACTTGCAAAACCTTGGAAGTCCCAGTTTGTTGTCAACCTCTTCGAATCGAGATGTCTTTGCAGTTCAGCGTCAAGCGCGGAGATAATCCGACATTTTGGCTCGCAATGCTATCACTTCTCAAAGGCCAGCGCCACAGCCCCGAACCATGTGAATTTACATTGCAAAGCCCTAAAACCCCAATTATAGTATAGTGGTGTCCATTTTATTTTTCATTATCCCAATGTATACCCGCTATAACCCCCATTATAATTATGGTAGTTTCCATTTTATTTTCCATTCTTCCCAATATAACCCCAATACATACCCTATTATACTACAGTAGTTTCCATTTCATTTTATTGCAGGTGCAGATGGTGGAAACCATCAAGCAGGTCCCGAAGCCCATGATGAAGCAAGTGGAGAAACAGGCAGGAAGTTCACTCTTTGAGATTCAGCATTCATGGGAAGTTAAATCATCTTATCACGGAAAAACAGGTCAGTACCACAGGATGGACTGCGCTTAGCGTCGTGGGTGAGTTGAATGGAGCTTTCACAGGACCCTGGTTCAGAAAGAGATCGGGAACCAGATGTCCCTAGGTGACACAACTTGGACCGCCTGCTCGTATGCCTTCAAATCGAAACGAAGAGCCTCAATCCAATTTTACCAGACGCCGCTAAGTTCTTGCAAGCAAGATGCCCAAAAATGCAGATTCCTTGGCTAGTTCCATCCAGTGTGACATGAGTAGGTCGTGAAGCATACTCTGGTGGGAGTATACACCGTGCTTTCATCCTGCTTCGGATCTGCGACCTCGGAAGGTCGTGAAGCCAATCTACGAGGTCATTGAGCGGGTGGTAGAGGTCCCTATAACGACCATCCAGGACATTTGCTGCATACAGACTTGCGGAGTCAGTGCGGCTTGGGGGAAGGAAGGTCGATCATGACTTTGCTAAGATTGGTTGGGTGGATTTGATTTTTCACAGGCCGCTGAAGCGATATCTTGAATCCATATGCCATATGTTAATTATAAATGCTATCGCGCGCCCGCCTCTCGCTGCCGCGTATTGCGGCTGGACTAGGCCACTAGGCCACCCACCATGGGAGAGGAGGGGGGTCGCCCGCCGGCAGAGGGCCGAGGGCAAGGAGATGAGAGTAGAGGGGGTTTTTAGAGGGTTCCAAGCGCCCTGAGGCTGGATAACCTCGGTGAATTTACAGGCATAGCTTCAGCCAATCCCGCCCAGGGTCCTGAAAGCTATTCCGTGTTGCCCTGGGCTTCATCCGGCATCACATGAGCTACGGACTAAATTTAGGTTGGAGGGACCCACAGGGGATATAGGACGGTATAGGGGGACCTATTTAAGGGATATACTACAAATTTAGTCCAGGGCTCACATCATTGCGGCTAATAGCAAGGTGAAGCTGACAGATTCACTTGGGTTTACTTCCTTTAGAGACGCAGGGCTAAGTTGGTAGGTCCTTGCGTTTGTGTGCGGTGATAAGATGGCATGCGCCGTTGTGATGGTCCCTATGAAGTAGTGCTGTTAATATTCACCACTACTACTACTACTACTACTACTATTTCTTGTAGGTGAGGAAGACGGCAACCTGTGATAAGTATTGTTACTACCGCCCATCTGGGTTTTGAGTCAGAAGCAGAGACTTGAAGAACGCTGGCTTCGAAAGAGATCAGACTGGATGATGGCCATGGCGAGAGAGAGTTGAAAGGATGAGATGGCACCTACCTAGAACCCGCCGTAAACATGCAAACTGGAATGTAGTACTAATAACACTAATATCAGTAAGAATAGCAATAATAGTAATAGTAATAGGGGAGTTTGAAGCTGCAAAGACTGAAGAGGGGATGATGGCAAGGTAGCGAGCTGAGCCGTGGGAGGGAGGAGAACTGACAAAGCGCTGGCTTTTTGGGGGTGGAGGCAGGGAATGAGGCCTTTGGGGTAGCAAACAAAACAGCGATTTGATATGACAGCTGGAATAGTAGCAGCGACTGGTGGATGGCCAGGATCCTGTTGTTCCAGCGTGTAAGGGCCCCGTTCATTGAAAGATGCTTGCAGCAACCTAAAGAAAAGCACGACCATTTCCTGCAGCGTGAAGCGGAAAGAATACGTATGAGGTCGCTGGGGCAACAGAGCTCTGAACTGGTGCAGAAGCCCGCAGATGTGTAAGATTTCCTGGGTATTCATAAACACAAGGTGCAGTTGTGTTGTTGCTGCTTGACCCGTTTGTTGCAAGTTTTGAAGTAAAGGCAGTACCAGACTTATGGCTCTGAATGCTCAATCCTTTCCTTTTTCCCTGGAAACAAGGGACAATACAGGCTGCCCTAACAGGAGTACTTGTAAAGCCTATGCTTGGATTTTTAATATGCCCCAAGAACCGTAACTGGGGCAAAGGCAACGGAAGAATAGGATCAGATATTGTGTGTGTATTTAATAGGCAAAAGCAAGGGAAGAGTACCCTAAGCCCTAAACCAACAGGAGCAGATTGTGGAAGTTCCGAAGATGGAGTATGTGGACCTTGTCCGGGAGATCCCGAGGTTGGGAGGAAGCGAACGTTTTGAGTTTTGAGAGGGTGCACTCAGGTAACTAAGGCGTCAACGTCCTTGAGGCAGTGGCATGGTAAGATGGAAGCAGGATAGGAGCAACATCAATGACTTTAGCATTGCAAACATTTTGTTGTTGTGATTAGCAGCTTGTGTGTCTCGCAATCTCTCACACAACGTCCACGTTTGTCAGATCGCTCAAGTCTTGAGGGCCACTTGGCTGGCGATGAAGTCTCAGCAGAAGGAGTGCCTTTACCTTGCAGCTAGAGGGGTTTACACATCTGCAAATAGGGGTATTACCTAGACAGTAGGCCGATAAAGAGATGCACGCGCTGCAGCGCGGAGGTAGCCAGGACGAGAGTGTGCCCGCAAAAGGCACTTGTAAGCTTCTCCGTTATGGCATACATTCGGAACGTCATGCACCCGTTCCTGCTACACTTCGAGAAGCTCCAGAAGATTTCCCGAGATTCTGGCCACGAGGCTACGTCAACCTTCACTTCATGGGCTTCAGCTCTCCACCTCCTTTGAAAACGATAAACTTAAGACCCAGCCACAGACGGCTCAAAGTTTTCCCTCAGCATTGTGGAAGGCCTGAGGTGCAGAAAGTGCAGAAGCAGGCCTGCCGCAAGAAAGGGGGTCCATGATTTTGTCAAGTCTAGGAGTTTGGGTACAACACTGCGGATGTATATTGGGGTTCTATGGGGAAAATGGTTAATAATGAAGAATCAAATGGAAAAGAAAATGGAAAATGAAATGGAAACTGGGATTATATAGTGGAGTGTTTGGCTCGATCTCCAGATCAGGGGGCAGCCTTAGCAACCGGAAGCGGTTTCAATGAAAACAGGAAAGCGTGAACCGGACATCCTGCCCTTGAGCCCCTGATCATATGGGCCATAGTCTAAACTCCTTAAAGGGGGGTTATATAGGGGATAGTATAGGGGGCTACTATAGGGGTTACTAAGGGGGATACTAGGAGTTTAGACAAAAACCCCTAAAATCCACTATATAATCCCAGTTTCCATTTCATTTTCCATTTTCTTTTCCATTTGATTCTCCATCATTAACCATTATCCCCATAGAACCCCAATATAGTATCCCCCTTAATATACCCTGTAGTAGTCCCCTATATAATCCCCTATGTAACCCCCCTTTAAGGAGTTTAGATTATAGTACATGTTATAATATAGGAGTTTCCATTCTATTTTCCGTTATCCCAATATAACCCCTATATAACCCCTATTGTAATATAGTAGTTTCCATTTTCTTTTCCATTATCCTTATCTACCCCCTATATAACCCCAATATAACCCCAATATTACCCCAATGGGTACCATATGAAGCCCACTAGGCCAGGAGCTCTTTATTGCCTCGAGCCTTCCGCTCCGACCCTTCACAGGTGGAAAAGCCCGTGATCCAATGCATCGAGAAGGTCATGGAAGTTCCGCAGTATACGGTTCAGGCTGGTTGGAGTCGGTTTGAGGGTTTTTCGGCTTGATGGTGTGCAGAGCTCCTGATGCCTCATGATTTTGCTTCTGGTTTGGAAGGTTCAGAAGCCTCAGAAGCTGCAGCTATTGTAAGATTCTCTTAGTTTCGGAAGCTAATGTGCTAACAAGTGCCCAAAGAGGCAAGGGCTTGAGGCCGGATGTAATGAAACCCATGTGCCCAACCCCTTCTACGCGTGAGCCTCTGCACAGGAGTGCATCGTGGAGGTTCCCCGAGTGGAGGTCCACGAGGCCTGCAGGCTGTTTGGAAAGCCCGAAGCCTTCAAAGACAAATCAACTTTCAGAAATTCGCAAAGCGGATGTTTTCCACTGAACGTCTCGATTGCCACTTCGATGTCATTATGATATTATGGCTCCTTGCTTGGACATGGAGTTTTGCTCCTCTCGTGTAAGATCTTGCAAGCGTCGCCTCAACACACTACAAACCCGAGGGCCCAAGGGCCATTACGCAAGCCTCATGTTAATGATGTGGAATCCAGGAGAGCAAAGGGTATTCAAGAACACTGCCGTTGGCAGCCTGCATTTGTGTGACTGTTGCGGACCTGCAAGGCATTCTCCTCAACAGTTCAACAGGAAAAACAATTGTCTTCAAGAGTGGACTTGAAATGCTGAGCTTGACGCAGCTCGCACATCAGGGCAAACCTTGGGTGCATCCAGGTCCTGCAACATCAGAACCCATGTTTATAGCAAATCGATTGTTGCGTTAGGAAGAGGTGAAAGATTGGAAGGTTGGTGCTCAAAGCGTTTCATGTCTGAGCGCTTTTTGTGGTCACCATTGAAGGGCTGCAACACCCCATACGTCGTACGCTGTAGTTGCCAGAGCTCAACTTCAGGGTTGCTCCGTCAACCACCAGCAAACCGGTACTCTAAGCAAGTCTCTGAAGATCACGTTTTCGAACCTTCAGCCTAAAATGTTAGATAAACTTGACCTGGATTGAATCGATCAGCATGACAGAGGTCTTCTAGAAACCTGTGCCCGAGGAATGGAATTCTTTCTCAAGCCCTCAATACACGTGCCTGTGAAGAAGCGTTGAACCTTGTGTCAGCTCCTAAGACTCGCAATCTTTCTCTTTGATTCGACAGCACAGACAGGCTGCCTGCGAAAATTCCATGTTGCCAGGTCACGAAGCAAGTGCCGCGAGTGGAGATCCAGACTGTCGACAAAGAGGCGATGCTACAGTTCTGGAAGAGGAACGCCTGCAGGAGCTTAAGGGGTTCAATCACAAGACTTCCAGACCAAGGGAATGCTTGGATGACTACTGGCTGACTGGTCTCGAGGTGTGGGGAGGCGAATTCAGGGGCTGTCGAGAGAGCTTTGTTAATAGGCGGGAGGATGTCATCCCTTCCGCAATTGGCCAAGTTCCATGCAGCATGTGGCTCCAAAGATTTCAGCTGGTAGTTCAGCCGAAACCGGACGTTTGTGGCGGAGACTTGACACGCTGAATGACAAGTCTAAGTGTGCTGGTGCCACTATGGGCTATTAGACCTTAAGGGTACCTTAATCTACCCTTGATAGGGTCCTAATAGGGAATTTCAGGGTTTACTAGCCCATGCTGATGTGAGAAGCATAGCCCCCAAACCCCAGCCTGTGCTCTTTATGAAGAATTTCCTCAGAAACAGCTGGACGACCTGACCCCCTATATATATATATACACATATATATATATATATAGAGTTTAGGGCTTAGGGTAGAGGATCCCTTGACTTTGACCAGAAGAGATGTGCCTTATGGTACACGGCTATCATTTGAGGAAGTCAACACACAAGTCCATGCATTTTGCCAGGTCAAGAAGAGGGAAATTCAGTATGTCGAGAAGATCGTTGAGGCATACAAAGGGTGTCAGACTGCCAAAAGCAAGTTGGCAACTTTGCAAGTGATGCTGATGATTCACTGATGACGATAGTGATGATGACGATGATGCCGAAAGGGTGCTGCTGGGAACGTGAAGAGGCTAACGAAATCCAAATCGGCCCGCACCCAGAACGACAAGGTCATTCAATGACACGGTCATTGTGGTGCTATGCGTCGTTGTCAGGGATGGGGATTAGAAATTAGATTCCCTTTCCGGCTACGACGCAGAAGGCCTGCCTTCTGGTGCCACTGCAGAAGAACCATCTGTTGAAATTGTTGATTTCAGTCTTGCTTATCGCCAGTGTAGTGCTTGCCAGCTGTCAGCATTATTTGTAAGAAATACTTGCTATGATAGGGTTTGTAAACAATTCTTCGCCTGATCACTTCAAAGACAGAAACAGGGAAACTTCCTGAACGCTCTCCCGCCCCACTCACCTCTAGCACACGGCTGCAGCTTTGTGCTAGTGAGCTTAAGCCATGAGCTTTCACAGTTGTTGATCAAACTTCTTTCCCAGCTTGACCAGTTGAGGTTGACGGCCTTGCCATTGAAGCCACACAGAGCACCTAACTTAAAGAAGCCTTGCAAGCCTTCCGATGATTGTTGTAGCAGCTCAATGGCCTGCAAGCAGAGGTGCCTCAGATCGTGTATGAGGAACGCATCGTCGAGGCTGACTGAAAACAGCTCCCTTGCGCGTCTAGGGGTAAGTGGCTGTCTACTTCTTGTGGCCTAGGATATATAACTTGAGATCTAGATACCTTGGGTTTGGGTCAACAGCGCAGGACTAGCTGAACTGGTGATGGCTGCTGCGTTTTGCCTCACAGCTGCAAACGCTGCACAGGTGTTAATGTGCAAAAGGTTCTGTCTCGATAAGCTAACACATCAGAAGCAACCTTGGAACTTCCCAAGCAAAAGCTTCGGACCCGAGACTGGTAAACCCTGAAACTGTTAATTCCAACCACAGGAGCACAAGCCCAACACGCCAAAGCTCCGTTTTCACCAGGTCCCCAGAATCGAGTACCGCGAGGTGATTAAGCAGGCGCGGCACCTGCTTGCCGTGGTGAACTGAACAAGATTCTTCGTGGCCTCTTTGGATCATGAGCCTTCGGGTCTAGCTGGAGTTTCTTATCAAGCGTTGGCTTACAACAAGGGGTGTGGGGGGTGGGACCCTGGTGGGTGCAGGAGCTGACCGAAAGTCGTTGACTTTGTGTTCGCAAGCGTCCGCAAGCATCCGCAATCGTTCGCGAGTGTCGAGCACGCTCGGGAGCCGAAAATGGTCGCGAAACGCAGAACTGTTGCCAGTTTTGGACTTGTGTTTGGTCTTCGCGTCAACAATCACAGGGATTGGGGGGGTCCGGGTCGCGAAACGCGGAACTGTCGTCATTTTTGGAGGCACATTGCGCGAGAAGAGGAAAGGACAGGAGAGCAGACGAGAGGAGAGCAGAGGAGGCGTGGAGAGAGGAGAGGGGAGAGAGGACAGAGGAGAGAGGAGAGAGGATAGAGGGGAGGGGGGAGGGGAGAGGCGAGAGGGGAGAGGGGAGGGGAGAGGCGAGCGGGGAGAGGGGAGGGGAGAGGAGAGAGGAGGATAGAGCGAGAGATGCCACACGATTTGGTGTCAATCACGAGTTTGTGTGTTTAGGGTTTAGGGCTTAGAGTTTAGGGCCTTCCTCATTCCCAGCAGCACGAAAGGAGAAAGCGCGCATCTGCATTCTGTAAGTTAGATTTTGCTCTAGCTTTCGTCCCAGTCCCTCTCCCCCAACTTCAACTTTTCCAGCACTTTGTGCTGCAGCAGGTAAATCCCTGAAGGCAAGGAGGAGACTTTCTTGAGACCAATCATCACGCTCGAAAAATTCTAGCGGTGAGGTCCCAAAACAACCCAATACCAGAACAACGGTGCTGAAGCTATTTGTGCGGAGCTTTGAAGCCACCAAGACTTCTTCTGACTTGAATAATTAGAGGTGACGCGCCAATGGATTTGTAATTGCATACGCCGGGCGACGCAGGATCCTGCTTGCAATAGCCTGGGGCTGGACATGCCTCATTCCTTCATGTTGTGGATTCGGGGCCTTGTTCTCCCTGTAAACGTACGTAGGTACCAAAGCCGGAGATCCAATACATCGACAAAAAGGCCGGGGCTGCAATGCTGTTTTTGTTGTTGGTAGGTTTCAGGCATTTGTCTAAGTGATTTCTTAGTGCCGTTGTAGTAATAGCAGCAGCTTCAGGGAATTGAATGTTTGAGGCTTCAGGGCTGAAACCTCTTGGGCTGAACTCACCTCACAGTCCATCATCCTAGCTCATAATCTGCAATTCCTAATGGTCGAATTCGGGCAGGAGAAGCTTTGTCTCGTAGTCCTCGTATTGAATGAAAGTCAACACATGTACTTGGTGCATAGTACAAACAATCACCAGCAAATGCACTCCCATGGCGTTGTCTCTTGTAATCCCCAAGCATAACGTGTTGTAGGATAGAAGAACTGCTCTGGCCTGAGGTCCCCAAGCACGTTATCGAGTACGTTGAGAAGATCGTGGAGGCCAGTGCTGAAGACACCCCCCGGTCGAATGAGTCTGGGGCCTTCGGCTAAAATGGAAAGCCCGTATCCTACAAAGAAGCCCGGAGAAGACCTGCTGCTGCTAATGCATCGTCCAAAGATGGCACAGTAGTAACTTCCCCCCCTGTCTGCTGCCAGCTAGGGAGAAGAAAAAAGGGTCCGGACCCAGACACATCACAGTGGAGGATCATCATTTGCTGGCTTTCTTCTAGTAAGTGTACCACACGGCATGTAGCCATGTAGGAGAATCCATCACATGAACTTGTGTTCGATGCCAAAGTACAGCAATGGCCGGGAAGTTCCACGGCGGCATAAGCCACCCGCACGAGAGTACACCAGATCCGTTAGTCCATTGACAGGTGTTGGCAGCTTTAGTGTCAAAGAGTCGTGCGGGTTAGCATTGTCTCACTCAAGCAAGAAGAACAACATGATATGAGCAGCCAAGCAGCTTGCAGGATGATCGTTCGAATATTCGGCTTCCACATTCTGCTATGCATGCTGCCGGTAAACTGACTCTTGCTGCTGTCCATGTGTTCACTCTTAATCCCGGTGATTGAAATGTGTACAGTTTCATCAAACAGCACCAGAAGTCCCCTGTCAAAGACCAAACCTGAAGTCAAAGCGGAAATGAAGTTGTAATTCCCGTGCCTTTGTTTGATACCTAAGTCTCTGAATGTCAGACGGAACCCAGGAGCCAAACACGCACAGCCCATTGGCATTTACAAGGTACCACAGGTGGTCTATGAGGAACGCCCGGTGGAGGTGGAGCAGGCACAAGGGTCTCATTGCCTCCTTGATGGAGCTGTGAGTTTCATCATGGCGTTTTTGAGGTTTGCTTGAACGCAAAGTTCCCATGTCCAGATGTAGGTCTTTATCTGGATGGTTTCTAGGCTTTCGGTGACAGAAAGAAGGTGCCTCCTCAGATGTAGAGCTGTAGAAGTTTGTCGTTTTCTCTTTTGTGAATGCCTTTTGAGGTGTAGGACATAAGGCTTGGCTGCCTTTGTTCTTTTAAAGGTGCGAGGGCGAATTTTACTGCAGACTTGGTGTTCGCCTTTCAAAGGTTCTCGAGAGAATGAGCACGGGATGCTTCGCATCAGCACCCCTCAGAAGTTGATGGCCATTTGATTATGTTCCGTCCGCTAGGTGGAGCCCCCGCCCTGTAGTGGTATGTAGGAATACAGGGTCCTCTTTAAAATCATCATTATCCTTTACACCTACGGAATGTGGTTTTGGGAAGAGCCTTCGGGGCTCCGAAACCTTTGTGTCGCAAGATTTTGCCCCGCACATCTCGCTATGCCGAGTCCTAGAATCCGCTGAAGCACTTTTGCTTCAGGTTCACACCGTCGAGGCTCTCACAGAGGCTGGCCGAGTCTCTTCATGTCTCTTCTGTTTTTGCTGCATACAGTGCTGAGGCCGTTTGTGTTCCTGATCTGACAAGTGCAAGCTAAACAGTTTATGCCGTTTAGTGTTGTTGTCTTGGCAGTTTATGGCCTGCACTAGCAGCTGTCAAAGCGAACGATTCTGGAGCGAGGTCCCTCAGCTTCGCATGCAGAGATCGTTTTCGGCCCCAAACGAGACCATCTCGTGGCGTAGCTAATTATTACTTGCTGGGTAGGCCCCTGGGATATTTAATATTTTCCTTAATGGCTTTAATAAGGGACCCCATATACTAATATTTTTCAAAGGGTTTTAGGGGCCAACCTAGCTTATTACGGCAGGTCTGAGCCTCACAAGCTCCGAAACAGAGGTAACAATCCAGCTGGAGCTCGAACCAAGTCAGGACTACATCCCGTAGAATAACCTTCGCCATCCCATCCCATCCCATGGAGTTATCAAAAGCTGAGCAACTATGCAAAGCTTGATAGCAAAACCTGCCAGCCATCAAACCCCGATCAAAATCCCACGCAACAAATCCAGAAAATCTCAGAACCTTCACTTCTGGCTAAGATGAGCCCCGTAGCCTCCGAAAATAATCCACGGGCCCACGCAAACACCATCCAGATCCCGAAGCCTGTGGTGCAAACGATCGAGAAACACATCCCGAAGGCCGGTTGAGGGAAGTTGTTTGTTTTTGGGTTTAGGGCTTGGGGTTTTTAGGATGCTATAATGGGTTGTGTAAGGATGATAGGGTCTATATTGGGGTTATATTGGGAGAATGGAAAATAAAATGGAAACTACTATGATTATTGTGGTTCGCTTTCCTTTCTTGGAGGGCGGATTGACTTAGGTTGTTGGGGGTTTCGGGTATGGGTTAGGTGGACCCCCCACCCTGTAATAGTGACTATAAAGGATAATAAGAAGTATATTAGGGTCCTTTTATATTCCTATTATACCCCTAAACCCTAAACCCTAAACCCTGGGGGGGTCCTCCCAGGGTATGCAGTGGGGGAGCTGGAGACAGGAGAAGGCGGAGTGGCCACTGTGTAACTCTGACATCTGCAGGGTGTAGGGTTTTGGGTTTAGGTGGTTGTCAAAATGTACACAAACAGGGACCATGCTATCGGGATTATGGAAAAGAAAATGGAAACTACAGGGAGTATAGGGTTTATATAGATGTTGGTCCCTTTTTGGGTCCCCATTATATTACGGCACCCAATATTTAGGGTACCTCAAAAGGGACCATAATTTTGACAACCACCCACATGATAGCAGGGGTAGCATCAAAAGGTAGAGATCCAGTGAAGATTGAGGTTGGAGACCAAGTTGGCTTGCTTGAAGCCTCCAAACGTACGGCCCCCCAAAGTACGGTCCTGATATGTGACAAGGACTTCTCAACATGCAGGGAGCCTCGACAAGAGTAACAAGAGGTTCCTCATTCAGGCGCAGCTCACACATGGACCCCAAGGTCCTTAGCCCGCTTGGGTCAGGCAGGTCTAGGATGCCGAGATTGAATCATTGACGAGCTTCAGGGTGATGCCATTGAAAATTGCGGAAGTTGATATGGTAATTTCCCAAAATGAGGGGACCCCAATATAGGCCCCAATATACTATAATCCTTATTATGGGGTCCCCCATAAAGGTACCCATAATTTTGGGAAACTCCCATATTCTGGAAGTCTGTGCAGACAAGTTGGGCGCATCATGGGCAACTGTTGGCCTCCGGGATCCGTATGGAACTTGCGGGAATTCTTGAGGAGACCTCCGATTATCCTCGAAAGCTCCAGCAACCCTGGGCCCCAACAGGGATTAGGGGTTGTATAAAGGTAAATAGGGGTTATATGGGTGGTTGTCAAAATTATGGTCCATTTTTGGGTACTCTAAATATTAGGGGCCGTATCATAATAGGGACCCAAAAAAAGGGACCATAATTTTGACTACCAGCCATATAGGGGTTGTATTGGGGGTTGTATAGGGGTACATAGGGGTTATATTGGGATAATGGAAAAGTTCTGCTGACAGACTCAGCCCTCGCTTTGTTTCTGAGGTTGAGCTCCGGGCCCAGGAGCGCGTCGTGGAGGCAAGAGTTGCATTATTATGATTATTTATTATTACTATTATAAGTATTACTACTAGTAGAATTGATATTTCTATTATAATTATCATTACTCTTATAGTTAGTATTACTGTTAGAGTTATTGTTACTATTATTCTTACGAGTATTATTCTTATGTGAAGTGTGAGCCGAGGGTTTGGAGAGGTTGCAGGCATGTAGATGTTGAGGTTCGAGATCTTGCTTTTGTTTAGGTAATGTTCAAGTTGTATTGGGGATGAAGAAGGCTAGCTTGGGTTACGCTGTGAACCGTGTCCTCCATTTGGGGTCCGGTGCTATATGTCGGCAACAAGGGGCTTCCTGATGTTGGAAAAAGGGCTCACATCGTTCCTCCATAACAAACGGATTGCCGTCTAGATCTTTGTGGAATAGATTCTGAGGCTCAATCACAGTCCCTCTCCAGTTCTACTTGTGAACATCTGCGGAGGTTATGTGTTCGCAAATTGAGCAAGCCTTTAGCAGACTAGACTGATTATGACTAGCAAACTTGCGCTTCCAAGAAGATATGTGGTTGCCGGCAAGCGCTTGAGAAAGCTAGCGTCAAGCGCCTCCCACAGTGCAGGCAAGAATGCAAGAATGGACAAGGAAGCAGAATTGCAGGATCCGAGCTTTGAGGCTTCGAGATCGAAGCCATCCGTTAGATTTTTCAGAAGCCCGCTGTCCCTGCAGGAAGTTGGCCAAGCCAATTCCACCCCAAGGCAGCCCTCAAAAACTTGCGCTGGAGCACGACAGCACGAGAGAGAGAATGCCATGAGAAGGTAGCTCAATATTTGCATTACAGTCTCAGGAAAACAGAAGCAACACAAATATCTTATCGGTCCTGAGCTCCCCGGCTGCTCCAGCTGCATGAGAAAACCTGATTGCCCCGATATGCCACAGCCCGGGCCCAGGTTCCTACAACTTTACAAGTTGAGCAACCAGTTGAGGCCAGGATGGAAGACTTGGAGATTGACTGGGTTGCTGTTAAGGAACTTAAATTAAGTTACCATAATGGGCATATATAGTGAATAATAGGGTTTCCCCAATATAGTAACTTAAATTAAGTTCCTTAACAGCAACCCAGTTGTTTGGTGTCCGTGAAATGTGCGACGGTTACACATTCGGTTCCACGAAAAGCTGCTCGCTGCTGGCATCTACACTTGGATTTCAAGAAGGAATCATTGAAAAAACGCAGTATAAAGGTCTTTCCATTAGATTTGAATATCGAATCGAAGCCCTCCTCCGCTAGCAGAACTTGTTGAAACCTCACGGGAACTTGAAATCGACCGAAACTCAAAACTGGGCGTGGTAGATCTGGAGATCAGAGCCAGGGCCTTGAAGGCTTCCTTGCAAGCCTCAAGACTTCAAGGCGGAAAACCTTAACACACTGTAGTCCGGGCCATGATTTTGGGAAAATACCGTACCATATAGTTATTATAACAAGATACCCATATACCCAATATTCTATCTACCCAAGGGGGACTATGCACATATATATACATATATATATGTTCCCCCTGAACCCAAAGCCAGTTTTGAGTCCGTTCTGGAAGGTGCCTCAGGTGTTGGTTGCAGAACAGATCCGACAAGTTCCAGAGCCCGAGGCCAACCGGGGGCTTTTGCACAACGGGTGCTATAGTTGTTTCCATTGAAATTTTCCCTTATCCCTATATAACCCCAATATAATCCCCATTATAATATAGTAGTTTCCAGTTCATTTTCCGTTATACCTATGTAACCCCAATATAATCCCCAGTATAATATAGTACTTTGCAGTTTATTTTCCGCTATACCTATGTAACCCCAATATATTATAGTAGTTTCCATAAGGGTTCTTCAACTGGATCAAGGATGAAGATGCTTGGGGGTTCAGAAGATTCTTGTTAGACTGGCGACTGCTTTGCAGGCCTGTTAGGAGGTCTGCGTCTCATATGACAAATCCCTCGTGATAATGGCGCGGTCGCTCAAGCCTCAGCCGAGAAGCTTCGGGAAGGTGCAATATGTCGACAGGGAGGTGCCCAACGTGACCTACCAGCCAGTTGAGCAGATGCTTGGCGTGTTTCGGACATCGTAGGATCCAAAACGAGATAAAACCAGACTTTCAAAGCTCCGCTTTCCTGACCTTAGACTTGTGGATTGACAGCTTGGGGTGGTTGGATTGAACCATTCACTATGAATTTTCGTGTCACAATTTAGGTCCAGGGTTTTGGGTCTTGCGAGTGGTTAACTCAGTCATGAGTTTGAAATTCAATTTCCCAGAAATTCCAAGCCAAAACAGCAGACAGCCAAAAAGCCTAGCCCCATATCTACGCAGAAGCCTTTTCTGGCTCGGCCAAGGATAGTTGAGGTGCCACAGGCGAGTTCGGGTGGGAAAAGACCGTCTTCGGCTAACTTGTACTTTTGGATTTGGAAGGTAGGCCGGATTAGGTCGCTGTTGCGCAGGGTGCTGATGGCATAATTGTTGTTGGTAGTGAAGATCAGGCCCATGAACTCTGGATGCAGGGAAGAGTTAGGGACACTATTCGTTTGCCACACTTGGTTTCAGATTTCCGGGCTACGTCTTTGTTGGGATTTCCAGCTTTGGACCGTTGATTTTGGACTTTTAAGATTGTCTGTCCGGCTGCCCGCGCATCATTGCAGATCAATTCGGGCCACAGATTTGACCACAAAGCCACCAGCAGCAAAGCCCAAACCCTGCAGACCCTGAAAGAAGAGGTGGGCCTCTCCAATATTCTGCAGCAAGCTTGGGGGAATCCTTGTCAGGTTGTGCAAGAGGAGCGCCTCGTGGAGGCGCCATGGGGCTCTCACGAACTGGATGGGGCACTCCCTAAACCCTAAGCTGTAAACCCTAAACTCTAAACCTGTTGGCTTGGATGGGGGGTGTTTCCTTTACGTCCGCGGATTGGGGAACCCAATCACGACGGAGCAGCTTACGCTTCGGTTTATGTCCAGGTAGCACCCCGCCCAGGCAGTCTTGAAAGATGACCTGGGAACATTCTGTAATTACATGGAGTAAGCTGGGCTCCTCTTGCCTAACCTCAGCCAAAGGTACCTCAAGTGCAGCTGGCGGAATTCGTGAAGCAGGCCAGGTGCTGGCTCGTGAAGAAGAGTACAACTGACAACGCGGTTGTCAGTTCACATACTAGCAGTACAAAGCCCGACGTCCTGCTGCGAGGAATCAGGACCCCAGTTTTCCCTGCCAGGTGCCTAAGCAGCAGATCCAGGAAGTGCCCAAGCACATTCCCAGAGTCGAGACGCGCTGTGCCGCACACTCAGAGTATTGCGGTCGCCTCATAGCTGACGCATTGTGTCAGTGCTCGAGCTCAAAGTCAAAACGACTCGCAATCAATCTTCAATTGGCGGCTATGCATGGGCAGCAATGATGAGCTCTCGACCCCCCCCACCTGAAGCACCCAGATCCGAAAGCTCAAGCCTTGACCTCAAGAGAGGGACCGATACCCTTTGATCAAGGAATGTATATGTTTTTCTATTACAGCGCAGAATGTAGGGATGAGCAGAATAAGGACCCTACTAAAATCTTGCAAAAAGGTCGAGAAGATACAGCCCGTGCCGCTTGGTCCTCGGATCTAACATTGGCCAGATCAAGATGCCTTAAGATCCCGTGGCCCTACGTTGGCATCGCTTGAATCCTCATTGGTATGCTATTTTGGCAGCCCCAAACGGGTTGCTTGCCTCTTGACTGGAGACTTGCCCATGAGCAGCAGGGATGCCAGTATTACAACGTAGCCGACAATAAGACATTCAACCCATACTGGACAGCAGTGCGCGAGCAGTTTACAAAGTTGGGACTGCTCGCGTTCACGAACACATGGTTCGATTCAATACTGCATCCTCAACATGAACACGCACGTGCATAGGCCATGTGATTTCGGTTACGTGCTAGCTGGATCGTCGCCTAGCTTCAAACAGCATCGCCACATTTATCATACAACTGCTCTCACGCTCACCTTAGAGTGGCATTGCTGGACAAGAGCATCATTTATGCAGGCGCTCCGGTTTCCTGCACTTCCCGTGTCGTTGAAGGTAATTTGCGCCACCACATGCGCAAGTCCCAGTCCAAAAACAGCATTGAGTTTGGCTCGCCTGGGTCAAGATGCTCTGGATTCTCATGGTGAATACTGCCCTGTCAACACAATTTTATTATGTCTTGAAGCAAGAGAAGCACATAATTGGCGAAAGCCTGCAGCCTAGGCCTAAACAGTAAATCATCCTCCTCCTAAACTGGAAATTCAATGCTAAGATGTGGAAGTTTTAGTGCCAAGGGAGACGATCAGTCCAACAACCCTTGCAATCCATGGGCTGTATATATATGTATATATATAAATAGCCCATATACAAAGCTGCAGGCTTGGATTTTGAAAACCCCAAGACAGCGCCGCCAGGGTCAACCTGCTGCACGAAGTCGCCGTAGAAGTGCCACAGGTGCCTTGCTGGGCTTCATTTCACAGCCATAGGTGGGTTCCAAAAACAGCCCCCTTTATGGAATTATCGTATCTTCGCGTCCATAATTGCACCCCCTCCAATTTTAAAGGTAATCCTGTAGTGTCTCAACCCCTAATGACAACACAGGGTTTGAGAGGTGTTGTTTTGGACCGTCAGCTGCCACTAGGCCAGTCCAAAAAGGTGATTAGCCCCGGTACACGATTCACTTTTGTTGAACAGGCCGTGTTCTTATCACATGTTTTGGAATCCATACAGGCTTTTCTGTTGTGAGAAGCATAAGGGGCTCCCAAAGTACATAAGCACTTAAGACAATCATCCAACGGTCAGGAGGCTGAGGTGCAAATTCTGAGGCAACATACCTGCAACAGGCCAGACCCGCAACATACCCGAAAGCACCGAAAAGAACTACCATGCGATCCGCACCTGTTCCGTGCTACATTCTGATCTAGTTATATTGGGAGCGTGGCTTCTGCTGCTGAAACTTACAGCCGCAAAAAACTTACTACGACCTCTTTTGTGTCTTTGTACATGTTCATCTCTTTGCCCGTACATTGTCGCAACCTTGGCGAATGACTCACACACAAGTAACGGCACACGTGTTACTGACCCTTATCCAGGCCAGGAGTTCGGCTGAATGTCGAAAGCTATACAGGTGAATGAACGAGATTATCAGTAGCATCCTATGTCATTGACTTTGCCCATTTGCCTGTCCGCCGCCTGCATGCGGCTCTAACACCCTGCCTTTGTCCATTTTGGCAATTTGTGCCCCGCTATGCCAACGCTCCTGTCGGTCCCACCCGTTGAAATTCCGATCTCACGCCAGCCCCTTGCAATCCATTCCAAATCCTGCCCATGCCTTGATCTCGCATACCAGCTCTCGAAATGTCGCTTTCCATTCATTTCCTTGATCGTCCCCCCATCTTAAATGTCCTGAGCCACATAGAGACTGCACGGGGATATATCAGTTTGCTGTTCGAAAGCAATACCCTGGAATTTGTCCAAAAAGTGTTTAGCCCTAATCTAGGCTGCAAACCCTTGAATGCTCCGTCCCGTGCGAGTGCAATAACACTGCGGGCGTCCCCAACGTTATGGCGACGAGCTCTGTGCACAGAAGCAAAACTGAGGCATGACAACTTGAGAAACCGTACGTTCTTCTTGGGCCTATGGTTTATGGCTATGGGGATTGATCGTCATACCAGAGTGCCAGCAACGCGTGGAATGCAGCGCTTCACGTATATTGTGCCTACCTTCCCTTGCACCAAGACAGCGGATTCAAGTGCTCCGACTGATGCTCGCCTGTACTCGTGTCATATCCAACCATGCCCTCCCGTGGCAGGTGCTGAGACACGAAGTCATCACCGAGGCTGCGGCTTGGAGGGTTTTTTACGTTCCTACATCTATAGATCTTGCTCACCCCCCCATCCACTTTGCAAGCCTTCACACCAGCTGGAAGGTACAGGGCACGCAGACCGAGCAGCGCGTAGCTTGGGGCCCAGCTTCAAGAAGTTTTGGACTCGGAAGTAGCAGATCCAGGCCTAGATGCAGAGCTTTGGGAATTTCAGGGTGAAGAATTGGTGACCCACGATTTCCGTTCCCGGCAGGCAGGTCACAGGACTGTAAAAGTGCCTGCTACTCCGCAACTTAGCCTTCCCACAAATCCCTCCTCTGACCTCGGGCAAAGTTGTGAGCGTGGTGTGAAGAGCCAGCTCCTGTTGCCGAACCCCGAACCATGATGCGCTGGGTTGGATTGTGGCGCTTCAGCGGTCCCAACTGAGAGTAAAAGCCACAGAGCGAGAGGCTTCTAATCTGGTGCTGTGGCATCCTTAGGAGATCCTCAAACTTGTTTATATAGGGATATAGGGGTTATATAGGGATAATGGAAAAGAAAATGGAAACTACTACATTATAATAGGGGTTATATAGGGGTTATATAGGGATGATGGAAAAGAAAATGGAAGCTACTGCCTACTTGAAATTTTCAAGTTGGGCTCGTAGCAAGGGATCCTCATTTGTCATCAGGGCATGCGTTGCTGCACGGCTGTAATATCCTTCCTTACCACTATATAGTCCCTAAAAAATACCCATACAGTAGCTTCCATTTTCTTTTCCAGTATTCCTATATAACCCTGATATATATATATATACCCCATTATAAACCCTATAGAAACCCTGTAATCCCTGTAGCTTCCATGTTCTTTTCCATTATCCCTATTTACCCCTAATATCATAAATCACTGTACAGCCCGTAGACATCCCATCCTTCCCGTCAGCTCCCTCTCCAAGCCCCTCCCCTCCACTCCCTCAAGTGAGTAGTATTTTAGTTGGGGATACTATGGTACCCAATATAGAGTAAGATCATATCCTCCTTTTGGGGGTATAATTTTTTATATAAGGAATGGTATCTTACTAGGTTCAACCACCAACAAAATAC